AAATTCGTCCCCATGGCTTGCTTGACTTTGTTTTATACGGAAAGTGTGCAGATTACGTGTGGGCTTTCGATGTTGCGGGAAGGAGAAACAGCAATGCAATTTGCTCGTAAGCGGGCTAACCGGATTAGCGATTTGAGGGTCTGATAAGTTGATCTTGTGTTCACTGTACACCATCCCCGGACGCGCATTTACATTCCAATGAGCGTCCATTCTGCCCTCCCGCGGGGCACATTGTACCGGAGGCTGAAGATAACACGGAAGCTCGACCTGATGCCGCTGCTCCGGCGTCAGAGCCAGGAGTAAAACAACAGAGATGGGAGGAAACTAGAAACGATAGACTGGACAACTTACCTACCTACGGACTAAAGGATACAGAGGAGGAATTCCCTTCCCTTGGCCAATAATTGTTCTTAAAGATATCTACAGTTATTAGCAGCTGCAAGTTTGAAGTGACTCTGGCGCAAAATGATTGGATTAGCAAAAAAATCACTTTTGGAGTCGTTTTTTTTCCAACTGGCTGTACAGGGACTATGAACAAGAAGACTTGATGAACCAGAAGAACTTCTGAACAGTGAAAAGTAATGTTTTCAGCTCAAGCTGCAAATATACTCACATTATAGCTATCACTTTTATCTTCCACATCGACAGGTAAATGGGCTTTGGAAAGTTGGATTCACTAACGAGCTCAAATTAAACCGAAGTATATCAACTATTAACGTTCATACGAATCGACAAGATCATTACTATAAAACTCCAACCGTTTGGACGTTCAACACTACTTGAGCTCAATGAACCTGGGCTTGAAATATGATATTTTACTACCTCTCCTTCATCAAACGCAGTTTCTTTCAATCAATATATAGCTAGCAACTTTCAATACTATCTGATTCAATGCAATCTTAATGACATTTGATAAGCGGCAAGTTCTACCATGTGCGCTTTTTCAGATTCATTCACTGACTAATTGGCCTGGCATCGACCCCAGCAATAGGTAGGTACTACCGCCGCAGCCGCTGCCGCTTCCCTGTACCGACGTGATCGGCGGTCACGTCGGTCATTCGGCCGCTCCGTTTGTATATGCGGCGCCGGAATCGATCTCGAGGACACCCCCCCCCCACACACACACACACACAGCCGCGGTGCCTCGGTCCGATCGGAGGACACGAGTCACGCCGCCGCCACCGGCGCACCCTCGGGTCAGCCCGCCGCGTCCGTCCGCCGGTCGGGACACACTCGACGTCCTCGCCCAACGGTAATTGATTCCGCCTCACCCGAGTTTAAAAGCGGCGAAAAGTTGGCCGGCCCGCCGCACGGGCGCAGGCGATGTGAATCGACGATCATCTAGCGCTAGTGGTGGTCATCACATTGATTTTCCGCCCCAGCAGCGATGCTGTACGGATAAATCGAAGCGTTTTCAAAATAATCCATCAAACAGATCTAAAAATAAGTGACATTCTTTCCTTCATTCGATTGGTCTGTTATGTGTGTAACGACATGGATTTCAATTATTCAAACAATGCCTTTCGATTGACAACACACAAAGGAGGCTGGCCCTCCCAGGCTGGTCCACTGCCCGGTCGCAAAGTGCACGACCGTCTTACTCCCTACTTCCACACTAAACAAGTTTGCGGCTTCAAACCTTGTTTCCTGTCTCTGAAACACGTGTACCTACACGGGGCCTGTCCGTCGTCACCTGTATACCGGGCAAACCGAGTACAAATCAATCCGCAGCGTACGTTGCCAGTTCCCAGCACAGGGAAAGGTTACCACGGCCAGTGTCGGTAATGGCAGCGTACAATCACTCGGCAGAGAGACAGACGACCCGGCAGTCTACCTCGGCTCCCTCTCCGGTTGAATTGGAGCCACCCACTCACTCCCGACCAACGCTATAGCGGCTGGATGCATCTCTCCAATCTGTGAGAGGCGAAAACAACGATAACGGGAGGAGCTCAGAGCCCGTGCCGAGGCGCACACGTGCTCAAGCGGAGCCGGTTCAGGCGGTAAATGGACGCGATAAATTGGCAGGTACCGAGCGGCAGAGAGCCGGTGCTGGCTGTGGTAGAAAGAGACCAAGGATATGTGTTTAGCTGCCCGGGCCAGCTCTGGAGTGGAGTTGGATAGTTTTCCGGCTACGTGCTAGGGGTTTCTTTGGATGTGTTTGTGAGAAGACGTGTGTTAGTAAAAAGTGATGAAAAGACCTGATAGATATGTAGTTGTGATGTAAGAGTAGGTGTGATATATACCTACTATACACATATCAAAGCCATCAGTGCTCGGTGTCCATTTCTAACGTTGAGTATAGAATAGATATCAACCGACTATTTATTTCACTCAAGCTCATTGTAAATATGTAAATGAAAATTTCATCTCATCATTCACATCCGAAACTGGCAGCGGGGACTATTGTATCAAGCCGAAGAAATCCACTAATGAGGAGTGCGTCGATAATTATTTATGGTGCACGTTATCTGCCGAAAGCCTCCTGCTCTCACCACGGCTACGCAATCACCATTGGCTCATAAAACGCATGATCTCTGCCGCCGGCGCGGCGCTCCCAGAGACGATGGCCCATCAGTCGATACCTGAACATCGCCCTCACTAATGCCAGATCACGATCAGCAGAGCCCTACAGCAGAGATCGTATATACCTAAGCCTCAGATACGACGTCCAGCGCGTGCGCTCAAGTCCAACGTCGATGGCGCGGACAGGCGTAACTGCCTCTTGCCAGTACAGTTCGGTCAACCAAGCCGTACACTGTACGAATCCCGGCCGCCGGCAGAGTCCTGCACGAATTAGCCGTCAACAGATGAACCTCCCGTCCCATTATCCGCGGCTTTGTCCGACCTCGGACAGTGCATAACACACTGCGCCGACCAATGTCGGATTGTCTGACGGATACAATAGTGCCTTTGTGACCGGCAGCGCGCCCGCAAAAGGCCCGGCTTCACTGCTGCCGCCATTGTGCCTGATCCGGCCTGGGGAAACACTCGGGATCGCGGCAGGGGCTCGGCTCGGCTCGGCCCGGTAGTATGCAGAGCGACCGACGTTATCGGCGGTTTTTACCCGTCCTCAGCGGACGGCCGACGGCGGGATGAAAGGCCCGGACCGGTGACGACGGGATGAGCCGAGAGAGGGGTAAGAGCCTCGAGGAAGATGAAGAACCAGAAAATACCGACAGAGACGACGAATAGCTTTAACGACGAGCGTCTTAGAGTCCAGAGTCTCAGCTTAGGAGTGATCGAGTGCGCTGTTCTGCCCTCGGGCGCACGCTCGCCTCCACTCCCCCTACCCTCCCCTCTCCTCCCCAGTCTCCTTCCCGCAGTGCTAAGACAGACCGGGCGTCTGAGGCTGTCCAGAAGCCCCATCGCAGCGGAAAGTCGCACGCCAGGCGGGGAAAGAGATCGCGCGGCGGGAAACGAACCATGCAGGGTATGTCGATCGGGAAAGTGCCGTGCCGGCGCGGGTACTACGTAGTGGTCGCCTTGTCCGCGGTCGGAGAGGAAAGGGGACACCTCCTGGCGCGGCGGACAGCGGAGGGGGCGGAGTGACGAGCTTGGCACGGCTGCGGCGGTCCCACGGTGCCCCCTCGGCAGATCCGCCCCTCTGTGGCCAGAGGCGGCCACTGCATGGTGGAACGGAGAACCCGGCAAGTGGGTGACACTGACGACAGGCCATAGTCTCAAGGAGAATAGATGTTTTAGTTAGCCTTGACATGACAAAGGGATCGAGACTTAGGACAGCCCGGGAATATTGTTTATATGTACACGTATGCTGTACCGGGTACACCAGACACCTTTTCGTTTAGGAATTGAAATAGATTTCAGGGAGGCGTTGGCTGATGAAATTCGATTAGGAATTGCGCAAAGTGTTTGCTGCTACTCGTACCTATGAAATAAATTGATCCTGATCATGTCATACAAATATTTGATTCTTCAAAAAAAAATATCAAATATTACGTTCTTAAGTAGAAGCCATCGATCACTCAAACGCATCGAGAAATATATCAACAGCCTTCTTCCAGCTGCACAAATTAACAGCGCATTAGATTCATTACGGATGATTACACGCCAACTGCATGTGAAACCAACCAACTGCGATGTGAAAGAAAACTAAACAAAGTAATCGTTAACATTTGATAAAACTGATGAAAGCACTCAATCTTCAACGACTGGTTGAAATAATTAGAACACATGAACACAGAACCTTGCAAAAGTTGCAAGTGCACACGTCATGTAAATTCTATTATTGGCAGGCCCTTCAAAATATATGTAGCCATTGGAGAAGCTTGTTAATACGTATGGCGTAGTTTTTCACATTGGGGACATATTACTTTAACGTGAATTATATATATAAAGAACAGAACAGCTACATTCATGTATTTCCTTGTTATCGCAACTGTGGATGTGTGAGTGCTGCCTTATTTCATCAATGACTACCAGTAAAACGACTTTTGGGCCCACGAACGAGCAAGCGCGTGATTGACCCCTGTACGTGCAGAAATGTGAAGTGAGCGACTTGTACGGGGCACTCTACAAACAGGTATCTATTAGTGTACCAAATTTGGGTGCAATCGGTTCAGCCGATCTTGAGATCCAACCGTAAGTGGCACCCTGCACGTGTGCACGTGCAAATTGGGTCCAACCTGACTTTTGTCCAGGACCCTCACCCTAGTAACCTCACGGTCACCTAGTAATAGCACGGTCTCTAACCATGCTATAATCATCCGCTGTTTCAGACAAATGTACGAGAACCTGTTCTGTTGGTAAAATATATAACATAAAATTGAAACTCGCTGCTGCAACACGGCACGAAATTAACACAAATACTCCAAGAACAGATAAGGCTTGTTTTATGAGAAATCCACTTAAAAGAGAATCGAGCTATAGTAGCCAGCCGGCCTAAAATCACGTGCACATGGCAATTACATTAATGTTCACAAAAGGTGAGCACTTTACAAAGAAATATTGCAGCCACCATCGAGCCCATCCAGACCACTGACCTGAGCTGGCACACTCTCCGGGGACGCTGTCTCCTTCTCCACCACCGGCTCCAGCACCCCGTCCTCCCCCGAGGGACCCCAGCGCGGCACTGCCGCCGCCGCCACCGCCACCCGCCGTCGACGCCGCCGCCGACGCACCCGCAGAGATGCGCCCGCCGCCCGCGGTCCGCCGGCCGACCCGCCGGCCAGCCCGGTGACGTCATGAGGAGGCGCCCCGCTGCCGAAAACTCGGCCCGCAGATTTGGGCTAGTGGGCGGCATCGATCCCCGGACACCCCTCGGCCGGCGGCACTGCAGCGCAGCGTCAAGGCCGCGCCGGTCCGCCCGCCTCTGTTTATGGCCCGGGCCAGGGCCGCCGCCGGGCGGGGAGGGACGGGGGGGCGTGGCTGGGCCGGCTGCCGAATCGGCGAGAGGGTCTCGGTCGGAAACTGATGGGAGTCCTCAGACATGAGCTGATGAGGAAGTCTGCAGGGGTAAACAATCATATATGTAGAAATTTCTAAGCTTTCTCAAAAGAAATATTTAGATATGAAGGAAAATGCAGAACTCTGGACAAAGCAACTGAAAGAAAATCATGCTTCTGCGAACAAAGGAGACAATTACTCGGATGATAGGGCCAGGTTAGTACAGCCTGAAACTGAGCAATGAGTATCAACGAATGGGTCTTACTAGAGAGAGAGGGATAAAATACCTACATTAGGAAAATGGAAATGGAATAAGCCGCTAGCAACCGATACCGACTGATTGCGTGAGAGATCGACAGACATGACACACTGGAAGAAAGATCTAAGACAAACAGGGTACAGACTGGACTGAAGAGCACCAGTCAGACGGCAGTCTCTGAGGGTTGTCCGGGACGTGTCGACTTGACAGACCATCAGAAACTAGAAAAGATCCGTCAGACTGGACGAATACTGCAGGACGAATCGGCCAGACACTGAGAATGACCCGTCTGGTCTGCCGCCCCAGACGGAGAGAGTGGCGGAGGAGACAGAGGACGGGGTGACGCCGCCCTGACACACCGACAGACACTGTCGGACGCTGACACAGCGCCACCGGAACGGGATCTGCGCTCTGCTAACCGGCACTCGGGGGGGAGGCGTCTGGTGCTCGGGCGGCGACCCAGTGCCGCTGCAGACGGCGACCCCCAGCGGCGCGGCTGAGGGTCGGTCACACACAGACACGTGGCTGGTCAGAGTCGCAATGGACCGCACCGTGTGAAATGGCATGGATAGGTCAAAGGTGTACGTAATAACGTGACACCGTGAGTTCAGAAAGGATTGGAAATGACTTATGATGTATTTGCATGCAAAACAAGAATGGTGTGTATGTACATACTCCGGAAATAAGCGGAATGAATGGGCAGAATGACGATCTTAACTAATGCGCTGCGTGATATACCGAGTACAGCGGGATAGCCTACCTTCCAGGTAACATTGTGCTGCCATCTGTTGGGAAGATCGAAGAACGAGTAGTGCGGGTTAGCCTACCTTTCAGGTAACTTGTGCTGGCAGCCAGTATATTGCCGTGCTCGCTGGTGGCCGGCGGCGGCCCGTATTTGAATCTTAGCGTAGAATTGATGGCTTTCAATGTAATCGAGTTATCAAACTGCAGGTGCTAGCTGTTTGTAGATAATGTGGCAGTATTATCCTCAGAGTAGGGAATGTTTCATGTCTGCTGCCCGACGCATTGTGGAGATGCAGCGTCTCAACAAATTGGGTTACATTCTATGAACAATGAACATTGGGCACGTGAAACGCAATTGAGGACGACCAGAAGCGCGTCTGAAATCATTTCAATGTCGCAAGAATCATAAAGCCACCCATGTATCGTTGAATTATCGTCGATGTCATTCGCGATCCTCTATTGCGCTGCGTGATATACCGAGTACAGCGGGATAGCCTACCTTCCAGATAACCTTGTGCTGCCATCTGTTGGGAAGATCGAAGAACGAGTAATGCGGGTTAGCCTACCTTCCAGGCAGCTCGTGCTGCCATCTGTTGGGAAGATCGGCGAACGAGTAATGCGGGTTAGCCTACCTTCCAGGTAACTCGTGCAGCCATCTGTTGGGAAGATCGAAGAACGAGTAATGCGGGTTAGCCTACCTCCCAGGTAACTTGTGCTGCCATCTGCTGAGAGAGCGAATAATTGCCCTCAGTGGTGGTGCCCTTGGGTGGTGCAGTGATGGAAAAGGGGTCGGTATTTTATTTATCTAATATCTTTCAAAGCATTCACTGTGTTTTCTGATGCAGAACCACGTAAACGTAAGCTCCGGTGCATCACAGTTATTAGTTAATCAGCGATAAGTGATGACGATTTTGATACAAGTGAATCGAGCAAGGCTCGTCTTTAGTTTGCTTTAAAGGCAGCTTATCAGTTATCCTGATCTTTTATCTAACAAAAGATAAAATAAAAGATCCATACCATACCCTAACCAGCTGGTAGCACATCATTGTGCGTGGAATCACACACCGGCGGCTGGGGGCAGTCGCTGTTCGGCAGCCAGATTACATTGCCGTGCTCAATGGTGGCCGGCGGCGACCCGTATTACGCTAATGACGGCCGGACGGTGGCATCGGGGCGCTGCACGCCAGAGGGCGTCACGTTACCGCAGCGCGTGACGCGTGACGGACCCGCCCCGGCCGGGTGTCTGGCGTCACACCTGAAGGAATCTCACAGGAGGTAGATAATCTTCACAATGGAGTGACGCTCGATAGATGCGGCTGAAGTGACCATGGTTGCGGCTGTCAAGTGAAAATGGAAAGTGCATGATGCCTATTATCTACCGATTTAGATAAGATTTAGATAGATATCTTTCAGTGAATTCGTAGTTTTATAATATTGCTTACGCATATTTACCCGACCATTGATGATTCCTCTGGTCAAATGTCGAGCTTATTGACATCTGAAGGCGCACCCCACTGAACGAATCAGGTACACGTCACATGAATAAGAGCATTAAGCTAGTCAACTCACTTCTTGTCAAATGAAAAAGCATTTGCCAACCTTGCATTATCTGCTACTTGCCCGATTGAACTCACATAGCTGATTTTTTTACATCGCCTTTCCCCGCCCTCAGGCCTGCTGAGGCCGGCGGTGCCTATACGAGAGCCACCACCCCGGGCCGGCGGCAATCGTTACTCGGGCGCGATGGCCGGCTACTGCCTCTGCGTGACGCTGCTCACGCGTGACGCGTCACATTTCCCTGCTCGGAGACCATGGCGTGCCGTGACGTCACCGACCGAACTGTGACTGTTGGCGGCGCTGGCACGGGGGGGAGGCGGTCCCTGGGGACACAGCTTTACTATCGCAGTGGCTTCTTTGGGGGCGTTTAAATCTCCATAACCCTGATTTGAGCTTTTTTAACAGTGTAAAATCTACAGAGCCATATGTAAAATACGTGCACTGAACAAACAGTTTTAGGCTGCTAATTTTTAATAATTATGCACCGATGGATGGATCGATTGAATGAAATTTGAGAATATATTTGTATATGTATTGAGTGTTAATAAGATCCATTAAAAAGCGTGCTTAAATATGAGTTTCATTAAGCAATATAATTGGAATGGATTCTCAAATGCAGTGAATAACAATCACTACTATCCTTATTATCAGAATGTCATTCCGTTTCTCTGAAATGTTCTGTTTAACCAAAATGGCTTTATAAGCCACCAACACGGCTTTATGTTGGAGAAAAATAATCACTTCAAAGAAAACATCTCAGCGCTTCTGAGAAAAACTTAAACCGCGCCACTTTTGCCTTCCCAGCCGCCGCCGTCGGCTTCCTCGCCGCACAAAGGACACGGTCTTGTGACGTACGTGTGACATTATGGCGACGGCAACTTGAAACGCTCGCCTTTCATTTGCATCCCGGAAATGAGAGCTTGTCTGCGGGCTGTCGGCGAGGAGGCCGGGCCTGATGGTGCATACAAGGACGGTCCCGGGCCGGGTCGGGCCGGGCCGCGCGGCGCTGGGCGGCGGCGGAGCGGCCGCTGCCGCCCCCCGGTCGATGGACTGGTCACAGGAGCCGACGGCTCCCTCCCTCGCGCTACGACCGACCAGCCTGCTCGTACACCGCGAGCGGGATCAACGGGCGAGCTTTGTGGGCCGAGCGTTGCTGCCGCTGCGTCCGGCCGATCGACTTGTTTGGAACAATAGACGGGATTGTTGGCGACTTTGTGAGAAGTTTGATCAGATAAACGAAACCTGTTGTCGTCGTACGACGAAGGAGTGTAGCTTTACTAGTTTGGAAAAGATGATGCATTCATCGATGCAATTATCGAAGCTATCCAAGTGTGCGCAGCTGGTCCTCCGCAACCGGCCTGAGTGTAGCGAAGAAGCAACGAAAACACTATCAGAACAGTGTTTACATGGGCACTCTCAAGTTTCTGAGTAAACCAGGGAAGTGAAAGTCAAGTAATGCACAAACAAAGGGGCAGCGCCAGTATATACTCTGTTTGTTGCCGTAATTTTGCGGCAGAGACCACTCCGGCTAAATGAACTCCAGTGCTGTCTACACTCTACACTCCGGCTTAATGGAATCCACTGCTGTCTACACTCCACATCCCGGCTAAATGAACTCCAGCGCAGTCTACACTATAGGCACTCCGGCTAGATGAACTCCAGGCTCCAGCACTGTCTACGCTCACCATATATGTAGTTCCGAGACCAATGCGGATGTTGCCACGGTTGTTTGACGTTTCGTAGAAAAAATACCCGTCTTGTTTTAATTTTGTTTATTGTCTTAAATTATTTACAAAATAGTTAACAAACATTTATGCTTCGTGGTTGATTCATGGTTTCATACTTCTTGTTAATGATAGCTGCTTGACATCTATTTCTTCAGTTAGGTAGTGTGCATTATGCTTCAAGGACCGCCGGTCTGCGCATATCCATGCCAACTGTCAGAGCATTTCCAAATCCGTGCATCGACCATTTTTCCTTTCATTTCATCACTACCCGTTCTCTTGACAACTCCAAGAAATCCCTTAAAAGGCTTCAAATCATCCATTTCTCTCCGAATGGGGCAGAGCATTGTTAAAGTCTTTTTCACCGAAGTCTCCAATTCTTCAACCATTGTCAGATTTCGATTCAAATTCGGCGCCGAACCACTTGGTGCGGCTGAATCCATTAAGCACGTGCGCCGACCGATTGGCTGCATCAGACTTCCTTTCAGCTGGTCTTTGAGCCGGAAACAGGCGTGTCACAAAGCAGTCCGGCCATCCTTCGGTCGGCTGTCGGACCGAATTACTGCACGTCATGAGCGAGTTATGGCCGCGCATGCAGCCACACTCAATTTCACGCTGGAGCATTGCAAGTCGGGACGGCGGGGTCCTCTCGCAGCATTCCGCCGCGCACCGCACGTGCTACCGGCGCTGACAGGGCCCTGTCACTGCGCTGTAATATCCTGTTCTCGTTCTGGCCACCATTCATTTGTATTGATGATGGCGAATTATGGATACTCGCATCCATATCTATGCATGGGGACATTACCTCGGCCATCTGGCGCGCAGAGGCGGTGAAACACTCCCACTAGAGGAGCGCGCCGTATGTACGGCACGAGCCCGTCTCATCCCAGTGAGATTGTCACTGCAGTGGTCCTCTCGTTCTGTCTGCGGCCGGCCAGCGATGCTCCGTCGTAAAGGAGAACCCGACCGCAAAAGAAAAATGGCTTCCATCCTATGCATTTGGTATGTGATAAGAGGCGGGTGGGACAGAACTGACAGAGCAGGGGCGGTATGGATTGGTCGGGCCGGACAGCTTCGATTGGACTGTCCAATCGCTCAACACAGCCTAGGGCCACTGTGTCAATATGCAAATTAACGAGGCACTGCACTGTCACAGCGTGTGATCGCAGGTACTATTTTCATTTTAAAAAGGTACAAGTGATGATGGGTAAGCATCTTTTCTTCTTCTTTTTACATTACAAGGATGCTAAGCAGACTAAATATCTAACATTTTATTTATATTTCATCGTGGAGAGGTTGGGTTAGAGAGCTCCATATTTTATCCGCAAAGTCAGTTATCATCATTTTAACCATCAACCCAAGGAACAGTGATTAACTGCCATATTCTGAGTGTTTATACAGAATGTCGATCCTGCGGGCCCCCGGTGAAGTTTTTTTCAGCCGGCGAACCACTCATGTTATCGGCGCGCTCGATTGAGAGCCGTCGCCGGCCACCAAAACACGGCTTTGTTCGTGTCGTAACCGGAGCGGCCGCGCCGTCTCCGGCAGTAGCCCCAGCGCTCAGGTTTTGTGTCCTCTGCCGTCCGCTCCGCTACTCTTTCCGGACACGACCGCGTCCGCCTCATACCCTCTTCTCAACACGGCGGATGGGATCGTTCTACTCTCCTTCTTTCTCTCTTTCTGACACGTTCAAGCATACGTCTCCCATTCCTGTTCCTGGCAGACTCGGTGGAGGCCGCTTATTCCTCTCTCACCAACAGGATTGAGGTCACCTATTCCTCTCTCACAATGGGGGTCACCTATTCCTCTCTTACCAACACGATGTCGCTCCCTCTGTTCTTGTCTCCATAAGACATGTTGTCTGACCTCACTCAACATCGCGGAGCTTCTTTGTACTTAAACACTGGCGAACAGAGACATGAATCCTGATTGGCATTACGTGGTCTCAGTTTATTTGCAAAGTGGCAATATGTCTCTCCTAAAATGTAGCAATGATTAATGAACATACACTATGCATGCTGTACAAATAACACAAAACATAAGGAGTATAAATTAAAGCAATCTGCAGTGAAGCTGAATACCACAGCGTGGACGAAAACATAGACTTATGCGGCGACGAAGTTGATGAAAACAAACAGTTCACGAGTGGTCTGCGGTGCAGCGCAGGTCAAGTAGGATTGTGTTTGGCTAGTTATAATGTATGTGCATAGCTTATATGTATGCTAAATACGGATCTACATCCGACCAAATTTAGAATATGAAACAGAGTGGACATGAGCTTTCATCAGCGCGGGGCTATGTTTTGCTCATCACGCTCTGTTTAACGATGCTCTGGCTTCGCCAATCGGTTCGTCCATTCAGAATGTTCGACCTCGTCTTATTAAGGAAGCTGCGATGCGTGTGATGAGCCGACCCGCGCGGTGCGGTGGCGGGGCAGCGGCCCTCACAGGTCGGATAATTACGCTGTGGTGCTGCGGTCAGGTGAGAAATCACAATGAAAGGCAACGGTCTCGCAGAGAAGCTAGTTGTGCCATGATTTAACACTAGCACTGCTGCAGGATAGCCGATAGGTAAAGTATATCTGGAATAATTTTCTAAAACAACAACAGTGGTTTTAGTGTATCAGTTTTTATCTCCAAATTTATTAAATCTGATCAACGCTTATATCGAACATCCAACAAAGCGGTCAGCAGCAAAGGTGACGAGCCATATAACAAAAACAGAACACATAGCTATGATCTGAGCTCTGTGGATCACTCATATTGCCATCTCTGGATCATTCTAACATCACAGATAGGTCACAAACGAGCGTATTGGATTACTTTGAATCGCTAACACGGTCAAAAATAGATACCACATAAAGGCATATTTGCGGAGTTGGTTTACCTATGTGTTCGCTTTGCTTTATTTGCTCGCTCGTGATAGCAGCGAGGGTAGATATGTACGGTATTGTATTACGGTGATAACCAGTTTCCTTTTAAATGAAAGTCGTAAGCAGATATAGAGGAATAGCATATATAAAATGTCGCATGTTCACATCACCCTATATCTCTTATCTGGCCACGTTTCGCCAGCAGTCACGCATCAACCCCGCACTGCAGCATCCCTCGGGCATGTGTCGGGTGGCCGTGAGCTCACCGTCATCATCTCTGGCCTGCCCTGACCCGCCGTCATCGCCCTTACACCACACGGCGCTGGTAATGCGGCTGGAAATTCCGCCCTGGCGTGTTCGGCGCCGCCGGAACTGCTTTCGTTGGCAGCTGCCGACCAATCAGGGCCGGCCCCGACCGGACGGCCCCGCGGCACGGCTGGACCACCGGGCGGGCGGCGCCAGCGGCGATCGCCGGGCGCCTTTTCGCCGGGCTAACGTCACCGACGATGACAAGAGTCGTCGACGGCGACAATAACACCCACCTGAGAACGTGCCTGTCTATCGACCGACCGACCGGCAAACGGCGCGGTCACCGTTCAAGGACGGCCGGCGCCGTGCTGCGGGGTGGCCATCACGCCCGTGCAGGCGCCACCGGCCTCGTCAGGCCCGTCAGCGGCCGGCCGCTGCACCTGCCCGCTCATCAGCGTTGCAGCCGCACCGGCGCTTCCAGACAGTGGTAGAAATGCAGAATGACACGATGACGGTGCACAGTGACTGTCTGATGAGCTCACATGTCTAAAGACAGTCTGAGCGGTCCGGCTTTCGCGCGGGACAGATGAGACAAAGCTCACACCAAGCTGGACCAGCCCCAGCCACCTGCAGTGGGTGTGATTGGACTGAATTTGAGGCGTCACCCAAGTCCAAACTCAGGTGGCATTTTTTCCCATTAGTGCAGAAAGACACAACAAACTTCATTCTTTTTTCAGTCAGGTTTCAATTTTACCTAAAAATGGGCTTTTTAACGGTATGAACCATCTGTGAGTTACTTTCACTATCTCATAGTTTTGTTGATGCGGCCAACAGGAAAAAACTACCAGGGCAGAGTTCTACAAGATTTATTGTGATCAGGGCTTGTAGTCGGTGGGCCCACAGTAGTCGCAGACCGTGATGACCGTTATAACTGTGGGGACAACGGACGAAAGGTGTAATACATCCGGCACATAACCAATCGCCGCAGTAGGGGGTAGCACATGAACGAGCGAACAGATCATGTTGGTTACTAAGAAACTGAACTCAAACTCTAAGCACCGCTCGTTTAAATATACCAGACTGGCTGATTAAATAATCCAATCACACAGTATCGCGCTGTCTAACCAGTGCCAGTAGTGCCTATCGAAGAGATATAAGTGAGACTCACTTCGTCCGGGATTGTGAGTGGTCGTGCGTGCAGTCAATGTGGCTACCAAGCACAGTAGTCAGCTATCAGAGGCAAGGCACACATATGCGACACCTGAAAGACAAATGCCAGTCAAAAACAAATCCGTATATCTTGATGCGGTTAGCCGCTGGGGCGGGAACATGGCTCCCCAAAATTACGGTACTTATACCTAATTTTCCATCACTTTTCCACAGCGGCGTATTTAGAAAATCGCGAAGGGGGGGGCCAAGGGTTTGGAGGGCGCCACCTCACCCAAGGAGGGCGCCATACGGTCGCGAGATAAAAAATCGCTCAGTGGGGGTTGGGGGGTTGGGAGGCGTTTTTTACCATGCCACCAGTTTTTTTTTTTTGCGTAACCTCGTATAGGTCGTGCTGCATTGATTTTGCATCGTGTGTATTCTTTATACTCCAGGTCACAAAAGGTCAAGTGTTCTTGAAATGCTGCGCCGAAGGCGCGCGAAATTTTTGAAAACAACCTTTTCCTCCGCTTTTTAGGCACGCCTTTTATACGATCACTGTTCAAAGCTCCTCTCGCTCTTTTACCAAATTTGAAGGTGCAAAAAATACCTAAGGTTTGGTCGGGCCGCTGCCACACAAACTGTACAGAAAGCTTGGCTCATGGGTGTCGATGTATAAAAGTTTATTGGCGGTGGCATATCTACGCACCAGATCACCGTATCGGATTGATACCGGAGCGCGAGATGCGTAAACATCATCCAAATTACCTCAGACCAGCCTTCATAGCCTTCTCACAGATGCATACAGTGTACCCACCAGGCGCATAACCACGAGTCTGAAGTTACTGGGGACCACATGGAAGGCCGCGAAGACTGCAAATATAATATTTCAGGATCAGCCTTCGCCCGAGTGTGTGTGTGTGTGTGGGGGGGAGATGGTGGGGGGGGGGGCGTTTTTGGCCACACCTGCCTTTTTTTGTTGCGCGTGTAAGCACAACCGCGGCGCGCCCACCGACACAGGTAAACATGACACACTGAACCGGAAAATTGCACCTGTGACCCCTTCTATGCCTCTGAGATCATCTCAGGTCATGAAACATCTCCAACAGTTTTTTACCATTACTTTAGGTAGAAACATGTTAGAGCGCAAACACCATGGATGTGTTCAACTCAACAATACCAATCGCATGACATGCAACATGACCTTTTCCTTCCATGCGTCTCGACGAGACCAACGCGATGCCGGTAAAATCAGCGCCATGCTATTTTTGAGTCAACAGTTGTGATACAAAAACCTTTCCCGCAAAACGCCAACCTGGTGCTAAACCGTTAACCTTAGGTCAAAACTGAGAACATTGCTCAGAAAGGTCTTTGAAAAAGCTATCGAATGCGCTTTCCCGCAGCACTGCAGCTCTATTGGTTCCTGACGTATGCGCCAATTTGTGAAAAGTTGTCAAAATTGGGAATAAAAGTTTGTGAAAATTTTACCTTTGGTGACCTCCAGTGACCTGAGCGATGACTTGATCAAAAATGACATAGGTAATTCTGAAAGATACTGTAGCGAGCTATCGCTGCTTCTTACCGCGTCCTTCTAGCTTGCTTAGGTAATCTGGTGTGGCCAAAAGGCCCCCCCCCACCATGGCTAAGTTGGTTGAGAGGCCCACCCGGGCGCTGGCTAAACAAAACATCCAGTTTTGTTTTCCATTGACTACATATTACTCTTCACGTCGATTTAGAGACAATATTTGGCTATTCAAGCAAATTGAGGTCGTCGGTTTTACTGGGGACGGTCCCCAGTAACCCAAAAGTTACTGGGGACCGGTCCCCAGTGTCCCCAGTGGTGGTTACGCGCCTGGTACCCACATAACCAGTTTCAATCACCGAAACTTCAGATGCCTGCTGTTGCGCCCGAACCTGTTGACAATACTTAATCGTAATCCATATAGATGCCATGATGCACGTAAAGTAGGATCAATCCGTTAAGACCAAAGACGTGTTTTATGCATCGTAGAGCGTAGATAGTTTTGGTAGGTATAGATACTTCATTCATTGTGCTGAATGCACGTTCATTTGTGGCAGTTTTCACAGGCAAGACATCAACTATGTGCAATAGAACGACTAAGTTGAAAAACATGCCAAAGGAGTAAATAAATGATAGGAGGGCAGCGATCAACGGATGTTGCCAATAGGTAGAAGGGCTGCGATCCACAGGAGGGCACTAATAGGTAGAAGAGTCCCGATCAACATCCCGAGTTTCGACAGTAGGGCACCGATAGGTAGGAAGTTGGCGAGCAGCAGGAGGGCGCCAATGGATAGAAGGGCAGCGATCAACAGGAAGGCACCAATAGGTAGGAGGGCGCCGATCAACAATCAACAGGAGGGCGCCACCAGGTAAGAGGGTGGCGAGGAACAGGAGAGCACCAATAGGAGGGTGGCGATCAACAAGAGGTCGCCAATAGGTGGGAGGGCGGTCATCAACTGGAAGTCGCCAATGAGCGGAAGGGTGACGATTAAAATGGGGGTGGCAATGGTGAGGAGGGCGCCTTTGCTCAAGAGGATGACACGAACAGGAGGGCGTCTGTGCGGAGGGCGCTGGTCAACAGGAAGGTGCCAGTGGATAGGAGGGCGGTGATCAACAGGAGGGTGCCAGTGGTTGGGAGGGCGGCGATCTACACGAGGGCGCCAATAGGAGAAGGGCCCCGATTAACATTCAACAGGAAGGACTAGGGAACCAATAGGTAGGAGGGCGGCACTGAACAAGAGGGTGCCAAAAGGGAGAAAGGCGGCCTTCAAAATTTCACATGAGGGCTCAATAGGTAGGAGAGCGCCAATAATTATGAGGACGCCGATCAGCAGAAGGGCGGCAATGTGTAGCAGGGTGGCGACCTACAGGAGGGCGCCTTCGGGTGAGAGGGCGCTTATTTACAGGACAGCGGCTTACATAGGCGACCACCGTTACGCTTAGAGAGCTACAGCCTACAAATGTGGTTGGAGGGCGCCCGAGGGAGCCCTCCAACCGTATTTGGAGGGCGTATTTGGAATGGGCGTCCTCCGAGGGCGCCCTCCATCCGTATTTTCCCTGTAAACACATTCGCGATTGGAGGGCGCCCTCCAGTCGCGATTGTTTTTCGATTCGATTATATCACAATTGCATTTGCGATTGGAGGGCGCCTTCGGCGCCCTCCAATCGCAAAGGGCGCCTTCGGCGCCCAAGGGGGGGGGGGCCATGGCCCAGTGGCCCCCCCCCTGCCTACGCCCCTGCTTTTCCACACAGAACGTGAATAGCAGAGACGTTGTCCGCTATATACAAAACGCAGTCTGTTATACAATGGCACGCGTGATTCACATTTCGCAGCAACAACACGCTGTCACAAATCGATCACGGCGTCACTGTGACACATTATCACAATAGTGTCGATGACACTTTGTCACCGGAACTTGCGCAGCGCACACGAACGCAAGGAAAATAAACAAGGCTCCTCGACTGGGAATCACCCTACGACTTCAGCATGCGGATGACTTTGTGTATCGGTCTGTCATATTCAGCACGGCCGATACGCACTCGGACACTTCGTACCAGTCCATCACTGCTCGGGTACGTGGAAACCACGCGGCCCAGAGGCCAGCTGCATCGCGGGGCGTCAGCGTCGACGATGATCACGACGTCGCCTGGCTCGAGATTCAGCTCCGTCCGGTTCCACTTGCGACGCTCTTGGAGAGTTGGCAGAAACTCCCGCCTCCAGCGGAGCCAGAACTGGTTGGAGAGATACTGGACCCTCCTCCAGCGTTGTCTGACGTACAGGTCCGGGCGGTCGAAGTTCCCCGGCAGAGGGAGAACTACATTCTGTTTCAAGGTGAGTAGTTGACTAGGGGTGATAGGCTCTACTACATCTGAGTCAGTCATGCATGCATAGGACAGGGGGCGGCTGTTAACTACGGCTTCGGCTTCTGTCATGACCGTTCGAAGAAGTTCGTCGTCGATCTGGAGTCCCACATCTTGGAACAGGCTGTTGAGAGCGGCGCGAACAGACCGTATCTGGCGCTCCCAGGCGCCGCCCATGTGACTAGCCCGTGGGGTGATGTGGTCGAATTCCACGAGGTCGCAGTTGTCCTTCAGGATGGTCCTCCTGACCTGATCTCGGTCCATCTCGTTGAGTGCTGCCATGAGGTATCCCTCGCCACCGATGAAATTCGTGGCGTTGTCGCAGAAGAGCTTTCTGACTGGTCCCCTCCGACTAACAAAACGTCGGTAGGCGTTGATGAAAGCGTCTGCAGTCAGCGAGTTCAGAGTCTCGAGGTGAACGGCTCTCGAGCTCATGCACGTAAACACGATGCCCCATCTCTTCAGCTCGCTGCGACGCTCTTTGATGATGAAGGGTCCGAAACAGTCACATCCGGAATAGGTGAACGGTTCCATCTGTCCCACTCTCTCCTCCGGCAGGTCTGCCATCTTCTGGCCGCACGGTGTTCCTCTGAGCTTGATGCATTTGACGCACTTCTGTATGTACCGAGATACCGCCGTTCTTCCGTGAAGAATCCAAAATCCGGACAGCCGAATCTCGCTCAGCGTCATCGTTCGGCCTGAGTGCTTGGTCTTTTCATGGAAGTGCGCGATGATGAGGCGGCTGACGTGGTGATCCTTTGGCAGTATCACAGGGTGTGCCGTCTCCAGGGGCAGATCGCTTCTCCTCAGCCGTCCGCCTACTCGCAAGAGTCCATCTCTGGCCAGAAACGGGTCCAGACGGCGCACGCTGCTCCGCTTCTTGACTTGTTTCCGATCTGTCGTCGGATCCTCTTGAGTTGCCAGGTTCACCAACTCCTCTTCGAATTCATCTTCCTGAACGTTCTTCAGAATGGTCACTTCTGCGTCGTTCAGCTCATCTGTGTCAATGGGCATGTCTGTCAGCGATTTGCTCTCCTCCATACCTTCAGTGGTTGTGCTGCAGGTCCGCTTTTGCCTGATTCGGTTCAGGAGTCGTCGTCTGTATCGTAGGCAGATCGCTACTGCCTTCTTGGCGCGGAACCAGCTTGAAAAGGGAACAAGTCGGCTTGACAGATCAAACTTGGCGTCGTCCTGTCGGCTGCTGGTGACCAACACTCTTGTTTTCTTCACCTCTGGATCGTCTTCTTGTACCTCGACGAACCGTGGTTCTGCTGAGAGCTCTGCCGAATCCATCAAGAACTTGGGTCCGTGCCACCAGAGGTCACAGTTCTTGAGCTCACTTGCAT